GGCTTGCCCGGTGTGGATATACACTCAGCGTAACATCACAAACATTAAAAACATATAAAGTATATAATATAGTAATATACAATCAAGTGATAAACAACAATGGACACAACAGTAAAAATGTATACTGTGTCGGCCATGAGACATGAGACGATTACGATTAGCATTTCTATAGCGTAAATTTACATGTGGATATATATGATCAAATGCGCTCTACATCAAGTATTATGCTCTTTAATACCTAATTATATACTTAGCCTAGACTATTTTATCTTTACAACAATTGTGATATCAGTTTCTTAACTGTGTTTATCCTAACCCACCCTGTCAATCTTCCCTGTGGGAGGAAACCGGAGAAAACCCACGACTTACGGCAGAGCGTTGACAGACTCTTTTCACATGAGACCGTAGCGAGAATCAAACCTACGACCTCAGAGGTGAAAGGCGCTTGCACTGACGACTGCGCCACCGTAGTCCCTATAACCCTCAATAACGTTCAGCTAGTGGAGGTAGGTCCCTCGTCTCCACGGTTGCATTCACTAGCTCGTTATTGGAGAATACGTCTGTAATGAAATCAGCAGGGAATAGAGCGGCTCCATCAATGGTAGATAAGGATAATACGAGTTTTAAACCACTGGCTGAAAGATAACGAACTGTTGCCTGAAATGTAAAGAAAAGGTGATATAAGCGTTGGTTGGTCGTCAACCAACAAAATGACGGGAAATAAAAACCGTCAAACCTGTTCAGCCAACCACTTGACAGTCTTCCTCTTCCCAGGGACATTGGGACATGGGATCAAGAACATTTTGTCCTTCACCCTCACTCGTAACCTCATTGGTGCAATAGTGACACCGCTGGATAATGATGTAGGCTCAGATGGCTGGCTCTGGGGGATCTGAGTGTCTTCCTGCGTACTTCCAGTTACAGGATCAACATACCCCGTCGTGTTTGGACTTTTAGAAGTTGTGTTGGCGGTTCTAGAAACTGTTCTAGGAATCTCACTCATCCTATCTTGACTTTCCAGGATTGTCCCATTATATATATGTTGACTTTCGTTATCTAAGCAAGAGACACTCTCAGTATTCTTAGAAACCTTAGCAACCTTTTCTTTATTCCGATTAACATTCATAGAATTTCTAGGAGTGTTCTCCTCATCGCTATCAAGCTCAGGTAAAGCAGTTTTCCGTTTCCGTGAAATTTCCTCAGTCTTTTTAGAAACATTTTCTGAGAAATCCTGAGAAGATTCTAAATCGCTATCGTCAGAAAATTCGATTTTTCCAATATTTGTAGCATCTCTAAGAATTGTAGTGAGTTCTTCTCGTATTTCAGCCAAGTCTGGATCAGGATCGTTTGAATCATCTTCATCTTCTACAATGGAATGTAACACGAGGCCCAGGGGTGTGTGGCCGTCACTATTAGGTAGAGTAACGGACGCTCCACGTGATATCAACAGTTTTACAACATCAACATGGCCATTTTGAACTGCATCGTGTAACGGAGTCATCCCTCTGCAGTGAAGTCCACCTGGGTCGTCAATATCTGCACCACTATCAAGTAATAACTCCACAACAACCTGGTTTCCATATTTACAGGCCTCATGCAGTGGCTGCCAACCACAATAATCACGTGCGTGAATACTAACTCCTTTCTCAATGCTAGTCTTGGCGAGATGATAGTCACCATTGATCGCAGCAACATGTAAAACTGTTCCACCTGAAAAAACGAATAATGCAAGAATTGTAAGGTACTGGTGTTTCATGGAAGAAATTATTTTGCTGGCCTCAGAGTGACAAAACGTAACAAAGCAACGGTTTGACTAACACTAACCCTACTCCTACTGTTCTTCATACCATCCAGTCACGTATTGTTTTGATACATTTGTGACGTTACGCGAGTCTATTACAGTACATAGTATTTTAAAATAGGATATGTGGATTAAATTACCATATTTGCCTCCGTCTTGCTGCTCATCATCGGAATCAGAAAATTCCATTTCCTTTTCAATCAAGCGATCTCCGTCATCATCATCCTCATCAAACTGAGATTGCTCCTCTGATTGTTCTTCAGATTGCTCTTCTGATATCTCACTGTCTCCAATCTTAGCATCCGGAGTAACTACAAACGAAAGAAAATCAAATTTGCAATACAGCATGATCAGCACCAAAGGTTGGTCTAAAAAAACATTTCGTGCACTTAAATTGATAACACTCGTTACCAATCCCCATTGACTCGATAGCGCAATGGGTAGAGCAAGACAAACAAATTATTCGTCGTACTCGGCAGTGTCTAATGAAACTAGTTTTTCATGGCTGTGGTGATTCTGAAAACAATCGTACAGACTCTGGAAATGTAGCATCATTGACTTTGTTTTTTGAGCACATAGGATAAATTGAACGTGAAAAGCCTGTTTTCTACTTCAACTATTTCGTATCAAAATATATCGTTTCTCTTTGCTTCCTGAGTACTAGTGTGAAACTAACGACAGTATAAACAAACAAAAACGCTACAGTCCGTTACGACACGTTGGAAAACAAGCTCTGTCCCGGTCACACATATTGCATAAGAATTCGTGCAGTTAGCTGTGTGCTTGAACAGAATGAGATATGGTCTTAAGTCTTAGCATGGATTGTAAAATAAATAAAATAAATAGAGAATAATACATGGGTGCTTGGAAATACCACATTATTTCGAATGTTGAATCTAGTATTTCCAAGCACCCATGTATTTTTCTGTTTATTATATAAACAAAATTCAGTGAAAAACAATAAAACGTCCGTGGCAATGCGTTGTACAACAAATGATATTTTCACACGTAAAAATATCGTATTTTTTACGTGTGTTTAAATACGATTTTTCTCAGTGGCCAAAAACTCTATATAACACTTTAAATTTTACATTCCTCACCCCCTTCATTCCTCTGCTTCTTTCTCAATTCTGACAACAATTTAAGAAGACGAAGTTCTCTGTTTGCGTTCTTACATTTTCTTGCACACTCCAAAGCGTTATTGTATGCTTTTTCGATCTCTTCCAAACCAGCTAACTCAGTCACTTCAGCAATATCGCACCAAGTATCACACTCTTCCTTTGGTTTCCCTTTTAGTAACAACAGCTTTTTACGATAATATTCTTTTGCTTCGCTGTACTGATCATTATCTGAATAAGACTGAGCTATGGAGAAACAGATCACAGCTTTTTCTTGATTGGATTTGTCAAGTATTTCACTCAATGCTAACTGCTTTAAATAAGAATATATTGCTTCTGAATAACACTTCACGCTGGAATTGGAATACAAATCACCAAGATCTTCATAGGTTTTCATCAATATTTCATCTTTCGTTCCTCCATTATTCCGAAGTTTCTCTAAAAGTCTCATGCCTTTGATGGCTGTAATCAAACCAGAACGCAATTGGTCAACCATGTTGCCATGTTTCATTGTTTTGAAACACTTTTTAAGAATGTTTTTAGCTCCTTTGAAGTCACCCAACCGAAGAAAGACCTGTCCCATTTGACCAAGGTATCAGCTTCCTCAAATTTCATTCCCTGATGTTGCGCTGCCTTCCTCGCTCGTTCAAAACACTGTAATGCTTCAGCAGGATGGTTTTCTGCTAGCTTTATCTCTCCACGTGAAAAATGACATCTGTATTCAGTTTCTTTCAGACTATGCTTCACAGTGATCACTAATGCTTCCTCAATATATCTCACGGCTTTCTTGGGATTTTTTAGATTTGCATAAACCGAGCCAAGATTGAGATAAAGTCTCGCTCTCATTTCCAGCAATTCTTTTTCTTCCACAATATCTTTGAGTTGGTCACAGATTGACAAACTTTCCAAGAAAACAGATTTTGCTTCAAATAGTTCTGAAAATGAAACAGCTGACACGAACAACGTCCGTCCAACAGTAGCTAATGCTCGTTGTTCCTCCACAATGTTTTGACACTCTCTTGATAGCTGTTAATGTGAAAACAATTAAATTTTAGGGACAAACTTTGGAGGTTAAAGTCATCAAACTCATGCAGACCCCACAAGCATGCAGACCCCACAAGCCTATTATAATTAGCTTGTCCTAATGGCAGGCTTGCTAGGGATTTCTCGGTATTTATTTAACCCATAAGGTTGCATTTAGACTTGCCCAGAAGTCAATCTCAAATAGAGAGCAAGGCCGGATTTTGGTGGAAATAGTGGGGGAGGTGGAAAAAAATTTAGGGGAGGTACAGCGGTCTAGCCCACAACCCCCATGGAAAGTTAGGGCTTATCACTGTTTCAATTTTGCAGAGCAACCAAAAAATGTCACATTTTCACTTTCATCTATCATTGAAACTTTCCCAAGGGGAGGTGCATGACTTTTCAGGAGAGGTACAAAACGATCTCAGCACCTCCCTGCACCTCCCCTCAAAATCCGGCCTTGATAATGACCTTGGTGAGTGGCGAAGCCGCCGCGAAAAACACTGGAAAGGACTTTGGGAAAGTCTAGGTTGCATTGTGTCTGAACGCTTTATTATTTTACTCTGTCTAACACCAGATGATTTTGCTCATCAAGGGGAGAGTCCTGGCGCTCAGTAGGATAATCTGGCCAATGTGTCCAATGAACTCAATAAACATGCGTAAAGCAATTTCACCAGAAACTAAATGAAGAGACCTTGTGGCATCAGCAGTAATTTTCATATGCATATACGGCTAATTGTATTGTGTAGACAGGTCTTAATACCTTTGTATGCCACTGATAAGATTTCTGTCTACTATTTACATGGTGACCGAAGGATCAAGCCCTTTTATTATCTCTCTTTGTCAGTTTCACAGAAAATCAAATTACCTCTAAATGCTTTCGTTGATGAAATAAAGCTTGCTTGAAGTCCTGTTGTTCACACAGACACTCCCCCAGTTTGCGATGCGCAATTGCTACTGCAATAGTGTCGTTAAGAGACTCTGATAATTGTAACTCCATTCGATGTTCTTCAATTGCTTTTTCAAATAACCCTAACAATTGGAGACAATTGGATTAAGGTTATTCACCCATTTAAGAGCAATGGTACACTAAGTATTTATCTTAATATTGAGCTAATTTTTGGGATGTTTGTTTGCATCTATACGAGGGACACTTACGTACATGCACTTGGCACATGCCAAACATAACAAAAGTGCAGTCACATGCAATCCTTTGATTGGAATTTTCCATTGTCTTTTCATTGTTTTGAAAATCCCACTACATGCCAATCAAGGTACTTACTGTCTTGATATATCAAAGTATTATACAAATGACTATTGATGATTATTGGGACCACACTGTTACAAACTTTGTCTGAACTCCTGTCTATGAGGCTAAAGGCCCATTTACACACAATACGACTAGTCATATATGATTGTCATTCTGGCGTATGAAAACGACTGCTGATGCCACTATTCCCGTTCATCATTTTATGGCAATTGAAATGTGACATATTTACACGCATCTATCCTAGTACATCCAGGATGCACTCCATGTAAACTCTACGCCGAAGATACACCAATAGACCTTTCCCCTTTTAAGTGAAATTTTGATCTAGACAAGTCTGGACAAAAATTTCATCACAGCTTGAAAGAGCATCGCAAAATTAGTAATATTCCGAAATTTCGTTGCAAAATGTTGTAAAATGCGGATAATATAGCCTTGCAAAGTTTGCCATTTTTCAGTCATTTTGCATTACAAACGGGAAATTGATAATCAGAGGATCAAACTGATTATCAATTTCCCATTTGTAATGCAAAATGACTGAAAAACGGCAAACTTTGCAGGGCTATATTATCCACATTTTACAACATTTCGCAACGAAACTTCGGAATATTACTAATTTTGTGATGCTCTTTCAAGCTGTGATGAAATTTTTGTCCAGGCTAGATCAAAATTTCACTTAAAAGGGAAAAGGTCTATTAGTAACTATAGATAGCATTGTAATTTGCCAAACTCACGTCGAAGATCTTCGGCATATTGCACTTAGAATACATCCTGGCAGTACATACGCCAGAATAATCGTATACGACTAGTCATACCGTGTAGATGGGCCTTACATGATGCTAACACATGTGAAGTTGTGAACTTGTGTAAATGAATACCAGAAGTTAATAAATTTAAAATTAACTAAATAAACAATGAGAAATGTTTCATCTTACTGTGTTCAGCTAGCTTCACTCCAGCGTGATTGCAGAGATTCGCTTTTCCTGCGACATTCTTGGCTTTCTTCGCTCTTTGCTTTTGTTTCTCCAGCGCTGAGGAACAAAAATATAGACCCAAAGTTCAAATTGAACAACTCGCAAGTCGCGAAATTATGACTTAGGCCTTTTCATATCGCGTAGCCCTGGTGTGACACATTTTAAAACCAGAAAAGTTGCTGACATGACAGAAAGTTTTCCCGCTAAGCGGGAAAGTTATGGCTATGTTGTGTTCATATGGGAAAAACATTATCCCGGTCTCGGTACACGGGAAAACATTTCGTCTCATATGAACGCAGTGTAACTTTTCATATTACTTTCATGACAAGGGGAGATCTCGTTTGTAAACTTGTCGAAAAGTTTTCTCGCTGACCGGGATAACTTTTCCCCATATGAAGTTATGATTGAACAGGCCCTTACTGGCCTTAAGGCCTGATTCCACGGGCGCTTTTTCTCGGCGAAATGCGAAATATTTCAGATTTAGATTTAGATTTATTAACTTTACAACCATACATAAAATAGACTAAAACACTACATAATATGGTTTAAGGTATGGTCAACAGGACATGAATAGCCCCATATGAAGACCAACCTTAATGAAAACAAACTATAACAAACATAAATCAAAGACGATAACAAATATAAAATTTACAGAAAACATGACGAATTACGAACAACAGCTTAAGTTGAAAGAGCGGCACTTAGAACAGAAGGTTTTCCAAGTGCGCATTCTGTTTATATCGAAAGATGAATGAAGTAGAGAAGAGTAATGAACAGTTAGTCTGTTTTTAAAGGAGGAAACGGATGAACTATTACGAATGGTAGGAGAGAGATTATTCCAGAGAAAGACAATTCGGTTGAAAAAAGAGTTCCTAAAGAGAGAAGTCCTGCAATGATTGACACGAAGCAAGTTGTCCGAACTTGAACGGGTGTGAGACGAGCTGTTTGAAGAAAAAGTGACGAAAGAGGAGATATCTAGGTCGAAGAGACCGTGCTTACATTTAAAAAAGAAGACGAGATCCTTTAGTTCCATCCAGTAGGATATTGGTAATAAATTAAGCTTTTTAAGGCGTTCAGGATATGGCAACTCATCATCCTGAAGGATAAATTTACTAGCTCGTCTTTGAACACCCTCGATGATCGCAAGATCACGTGACGATCCTTGAGGTGCCCAGACACAGAATAAGGTACACAGAAGGTCGACTCGAGTAACGCTGCCACGCCATGATTCATCATCAAAATGCTGACGCCATGGTCCTAGCCAGTGCGGGTTTGAGAAGCATTCCCCCCTGGACATCCGCCATTTTGAATAATATCAGGGGGGTGAATGCCTCTCAAACGCGCACAGGCTAGGACCATGGCGTCAGCATTTGATGACGAATTACGGGTTACGCCAAAATCATAGCAAAATCATAGGAAAAACAAAGAAGTCGGCCTTCTGTGTACCTTATTCTGTGGCCCAGATCTCACTACCATATGACAGATGAGATCGGACGAGAGCAAGATAAAGAAGCCTACGGCAGCGAATATCAGACATTTGCGTATAATTCCTACGAAGAAAACCAAGCATACGATTGGCTTTTGCAGTGCAGCTGGCGATGTGAGGGGCCACTTTAGGTCATTGCTGATAACAACACCCAAGTCTACTTGGTTAGCTATGCTCTTAACTGGATCGTTGTTAAGAAAGTAGCAATGAGTTGGAGGGTTACGTTTGCGAGATATCCTAAATAGGAGTGTCTTCGAGACATTAAAATTCATTTTCCAGTTAAGTGACCAGTTGGACATAGCGTCCAGGTCAAGCTGAAGGAGACCACGATCAACTGGTGATCGTATAGCACGATAACACTTGATGTCATCAGCAAAAAGTGCAACGGTACTATTATTGGTTACCTCAGGAAGGTCATTTACATAAAGAATGAATAAAAGTGGACCTATTACACTACCTTGTGGCACCCCAGAGGTAACATTAAGAAAAGATGAGGAAGCTCCTTCAACGACAACACACTGTTTGCGATCACGAAGGTAATCAGCAAACCAGTTAAGAAGTGGACCTGAGATTCCAAACGATTTGAGTTTGAA